GCGATGGCCTTGCGGATGGCACCGACATCCTGCAATGGCAATCTCGGACACGAAGGTTCACGTGAGCACGATCGTCCCTGCCACACTTGCTGCAAACAAAATGTATGAAGGTCTGCGCATTCCCAAACGATACCAGGAAGGACATGACACACGCCCCGCACTCCTCCCGAAACTCTGAGGCCTTAGCTCCAACATTCTTTGCTCCAAGCCAACCAAAGCTACTGCTGGGGCTCCTTGTCGCCGTCACTCACAGTGATGACCTGCCAGCCGTAGGCCTGTCCAGGGAAGACGAATGCCGCATGCAGAGTGCACACGGGTGTCCTCAGAAAGGGAGTCTTTTGCGTCAGCGAGTTTGACAGCCTGCCTGCCTCTGGGCACATGAAGCAATTCCTGAAAGCAAGCTGGGACCGAAGGCATGCTGACAGGAAAAACGATCAGAATCTCTCAAACCACACTGTTCAATTTAAATCCAGGGTACGCTTCCAGACAGCTTTCATGGTTTTACTGAATCAACAGATCGGAGCCTCGAATCGCTTGCCGACGTCCTGAAAAGCAACCGGCAGTCTCGATGATTGATACGCATCTGTCGTTTCTTGGAACACTGAGGCTTGTGCTCTTCTTTAGTGTCTGTGTCTTTTGCGGAGAAGTCCCATGCAGCACTACTTTGGCAGTGCCACCTCAGTGAAGGAAAGGTCGGTGTGGCCATCGATGGTGATGCCGTTGTCGTCCTGGGGCTCCCGACCCCAATCCAGAGAAATAACTCTGCCGAGCAGCTGCTGCTGTGCGGCTGTGCGCACTGCTGAACTCTTTAATGCCTTCAATCAAAACCAGCACAACAATCTGAGAGGTAGGAACAACAACTTTCGACCCAGGTGCGTAGAAAGCAATGAGCTTGCCCAGCCCGAGGTGGCCAGCGTAGGCGCAGGCTTCGTGGGAGATGCCTTCCTGTGTTTGCAGGCTTCATGTTCAGGGTTCGAACTCAGACTCAGCCGAGGACGGCCGTGAATGAGTGATGACATGCAGCCCTTAATATAGATCCTGTGCTCTTTGATGGCTCATATGGCTCCAAAGGTTTTGCAGGTTTAGAACTCCTTTTTCGAGACGTGATACAAATAAACGATTGCCGATTCAGCGCCCTCACTTCTTCTGGAGCCTAGAGGGCCTATACTCGGCACTTACTCCTGGTGTCCGAAACTGTGCAAACGCGACAAGGTCAACCTGGTAACAATCTGCTGAGGCCACTATCGGTCCGTAATTAGGCTTCGCGGCTCTACTTGAGATGCGTGCTCGAGCCACACAGTGGAGTGACAGGTCACTACTAGCATCCATGTAACTCCATCGTTTTTTTGTGGGCCTTGCAACGTGCGCGGGTGTCTGTGTGTGTCTCCTGTCTGTGGCTAAGTTCTAAGGCAGAGTCTCAGGAGTAGCAGCAAGCGGCATACCAAACAATCCCGGCTAGCAAGTCCCAATCCGGAAAAGATCCTTAGCCTGGCACAATGACAAGCATGGTCAGACTGGGGCTTCGGATCGCGCTCCTGCATGCAGCCGTCGCCCGCAATGGTGTAGGTGTAGTGGTCGATGAGAGTGAAGTCCGGCCTCACGGCACGTTGGCTGACCCCTTCATGTCTCGTACGGCAGCGTCAGAAAATTCATGACTCAGAATCGTCATAACCCCAAGACTAGAGAACGAGTGTCCCGAACGCGCAACATCATCTCATCCACTCATCAACTCATCCATCCATCTATCCATCCATGAATCCATCCATCGATCTGCCGGCAGATGAATGTGTTGGCGGGATTCAGGGACATGTTTGCCCCAAGTACTGGATCAACGCGGCAACCCCCGCAGTGCCAGGACACGCTGGGAACCGAGAAGGTTCTCAGTTGAAGGCAAACACGAGCCAAGTACAATGGATCGCGCTTACCGGGGGACGTGGACACACCGTGTCCACCGAGATGGTTGTCAATTTCGAACACGAGACTTAACCGGGCATCAGTCACGCATCGCCATCTCGTGCATTCGAAGACGCTGGCGCCACGAGAGGGTTGCCAAATCCGCCACATGCAGCATGCGTGCAGCGCCAATTGACGATGCGCGCGGCGACTCCCGCTTTCCCCGTGCTTTGAAAGACGTGCAGGGCCGACCCCTCGAAATCACTAAATGACGCGTGCAACCTGACGGCAACCGACGACACAACGCCCCAACATGTCCAAACCAGATCTATGGAACCACCCTTCGCTGATTCGCTTTCAGGAAAAGAACAATCCTTCGGCTTGGCAGCTCTTGCATACGAGATGCTTGTTGTATGCGGCCGCCATGTGAGCTTCTGCGGCAGCCAAGCCAACAGCATTGGAGATGCCCATACCTGAATGTTATCATAAGAAACACGCAGAAAGTCCAAAATGAGGCTCGCACAAGGCAACAACGCCTAGCATCGTGTGTGTGTGTGTGTTTGTGTTTGTGTTTGTGTTTGCGTGAGTGTCTAGTATGTGTATGCATCCTCTTGCAGATGCACGACGGTATGGCTCGTAAATAGTACCGCACCCGTGCTTGAAATTACAAACAATCCTGGCGCACTGCGGCGAGTTGCTTTTCGGCTAGACACGGCTTTGCTCTGTATGTCGATACGCTTCACACCTCTTTGAGCTTGTCTTGCGGATGTACTCGCGAGTCCTGCTTGAATGCCGAGTTTCCAAGCGGGCCAGTCGTGACCTCAATGCCATCCGTCTCCTCAGGCGACCAGAACAGTTTTGGCGATGCGGGTTGTCGAAGGCATGCTTCCCTTGCAAAGAGTCTGGCCTGCATATCAGTGAGGCCTTCAGCCTCCCTACTTCGATATGCCACCGAAGACAGTGCGCAAACTCCGTAGGAGGGTGAGGGGGGGGGAGGCGGGTAAGGAGGATCATGTGAAGTAGTCAGATTCAGGAATCTGCACATCACTGGTGGAAAGGACCGCGAAGCCCGAAACCTGCGCCCTGATCTGTGTCAAACAAGGCAGCAAAGATGCGAAGTTCTCCGGGTGGCCGGGGGTCTTGGAGCCCCACTGCCTGGAGCGCTCGTTGTAAGCTTCATGGTGCCGGGTGCAACATCTCAGAGTTCAAGGGTTCATGGGCCTGAACTGCTTCAGGTCATCCATCGCCACGCTGTCGTATCCGGCCAGGTGCAGCAGGGAGTACCTGAGGCAGACGCGACAGCTGCAACGTCCAGAGTACAGTGGACAGAGACCTGCATGCGGAACTCTAAACCCCAAGATGAGTTAAGCCTGCACAATGTCCCGACCCCGAAATCATGTCGTGCATAGCACAAAGAGGTGCAGCGGAAGGGAAATCCCAATTTTCCGTTTTAGTGGAACGCAATTTTGCAGTGCTTGCTTAGAGACCTTATGTGATTGGAGTTTCCTCTTACCCATCGGAAGGAGACAACAAGCTAAGGCCGAGATGCTGCAGCATACAGCCGTGGCCCGACGAGAGCACGAAGCGGTCACGATTGCACCACGAAGGGTCCTGCTGTGTCCACACATGCTGACTTTTTGCCACAAAGCGTTTATCGAGTCCAATACGGCTCCGTTCTTACACGGCACCGAAGCCAGGAGAGGAACAGTAGCAGATACCTCAAACCCTGAAGGGCTTTGTAGGTTTTTTTTGACACCTCTTTTCCGTCCGCACAAGTTTGCTTGGTTGGAACGCCTTACAGGCTGAGGCGGTGGGACAGGGATAGCAATGCAAAGCAGGTCCTGGCTCCCTGTCCCAACTCGAACCCTTCTCCCCCGGTAGTAGCTTTGTAAGTTTAGGGTTTAGGGTTTTTTTGGTTTAGGGTCTAGGGGGTCGCCGTTCTCGGCAGCAACAGCGGAGAAAGACAACATTTGACCTGGCGAGACCCACCCTCAGCCGAATCTTGAGCAGCCCCTCGCTGTTGAGAGTGAAGTGATAGCTGCACTTCTGAACATCGAGATTTCTTGGTGAACGCTCAAATCTTCAGTAGCCGGATTGAATGAGTACCAGACGCAGGCAGTCCTAAGCGCTGAAGTGCCGACAGCAGTCCAGCAGTTCGGCTAACTCCCCAGTCCGAACACAAGATTCAAACCAACCGCACGAGAGACCAGCGCTGGTCCTTGGGGTTGTACGCCATCTCTTCGGCGAACAGGAGGTAGCCTTGGCTTGTCACGTGCGTCACTTCGAAGTTGTGATGATGGCATTTGGGAAGTGCCCGGCGGCTTGCTGCGTACAAGGCAAACATCGGCTGTATGTAAATTTTGCGAAGCATAGACTGCGCCATGATACTCGCCGTGGAGTGATTCAAAATATACCTAAACACCAAAGCCTCCGGTTTAGCTTGGTTCTGCAAAGGCGCTGTCTATCCTCAAACAACCATCGGGACAGCGGACAAACTCCAAGCAAATCACGTTGTAGCACGATTTGCGGAGACTGCTCATGGATCCTTCGGATCCATGATGTGAACAGTGTTGAGCTTCTTCCTTTTCCAACTGGACCGCTTGGTAGAAAATTGGAGCTGCAGACCCGGGGCATGTTGAAACAAAGCAATGTAGTACACTATGTCTTCTGGAATTGGAGCCTCGGATCCCTCCCAGTGTGCTCCCGGCCAGGTTGCCGATCGGTGCCTGCCCCATGGGTGCACCGGGGTGGCCCGAGTTGGCCTTGCCCGCTCTCAAGAGGTGCATGGCAGTCATGACAGTGCTAGCAACAAGAGACATGATAGGGCTCATGATACCGGCATGCACGGTAGTGATAGCATTGACAACAATGCTACGATTATTCTTTTTATATCTATAGCAATAATGAAGCTTATCCTCGTGGTTTGTAGCTTAATGGCCATGACAATGGTCACGATTCTCTAAGTAGTAACAGCCGTACTGGTGGTGGGTTTAGGCTTAAGGTTTTGTTCGTGGGTTTCGGAGTTTGCCGCAGGTGTTGACTCTCGGCTTTGGGTCGCCATCGCTTCAATTTGTTGGGGGTTTAGGGCTTCTTGCGCTTGCGAAGATGTGCTAAAGAAGGACAGAGGCGCAACTACAATCTTGGCAGCTGATTTTGGGTGCAATCTCAGTGGACAAACGACGACCTTGGTCCAAACCTGGGGCGCTCTCTCGGAAAGAAGTGCAGACGCCTTGTTCACCGCATCTACCGCCAAAAAGCGAATGGAGTTGATGCAGTCGGTTTCCACCTTGCAGGCTTCAGCTGGGGCCAACAACGACTGCGAAAATCCTTTCATTCACGGAGCTCCTCGCATTCATCTCGAGCCCAGACTGACAGCTGCTTCCCAGAAGCCATGAAACAGATGATCCCAACTACACAAAGAACAGTTCCAATACAAATCATAATGACAGGATATATAGCAACAACCAGCCGAGTGCTCCGATCATTGTCAATGACGCCACATCCATATAGCTTCTCGGTCGAACTTTGCATGAGCAGTGCCACGCACCATCAAAGTACCATAAAATACCAAACCTACGAACACATTAGCATCACAGAAATAGAAGGATACCACCTAGCATCCGGGTGAAAAGACATACCAATATGGCCATGTAAGCAAACCCCTGAAACATCACCAGCAGGGAAGGTCTGGTCAACAGCCAGATGCCAGTTCGCGGCAACTCGGACTCGCTAGGGATGACTCTGTTTCGCATTTAAGGCTTTGTAAAATTCGAGCCTAGAACTGGGCCTTGCTACACGGGGATTGAGGCAGGGGCTTGAGCAGGAGCCCTGCCCGAAGCCATGGTACTCAGCCGACAATTCGAATTCCCAGGCCCTCAACATCTTCAACCTGCTTCTGTCTCCCGTTCTACTCTGCCGACACAGCTACATCGGTGTCGGTGCTCACTGCCGCAAGCTTCACGGCCTTTCGCTGTCCCTGCAGAGCCACGGCGCAATCCAAAGTGTTGACCATACACCAAGATGCAGTCTAGTTCAACCTGACATCATAATCCCAAGCTAACGACAGAGTGATGTTGTAAGGCTTCCGATTCCTCAGCCGGCAATTTCTGTGTCGTGATTTCGTTGCACTGCCTGCGTCTCAGATTGTCCAGTGGAAGTTTTGTGCCAACCCGAAAATCCAAACGCGAAGGCCCAAGCATGCCTTTCCCTTGGGCGTCATCCGCGCAGCGCAACCTGCAGCCAGAAGCGCAGCACCCACCGTGGTAGCGCCCATGGAGGTCTGGGGCTGGGCAGCAGCAGCATGGCTGGATGCCACACCTCCAAGTGGGATTGCCTTTACTTCCGGAAGTAGTGTTGCTTAGTTGAAGGCCGAGGCTCCAGAAGGAGGCAAGTATGACGTACTGTCACGGTGGATGGAAGACATCTTGCAACACCTGCATTACCAAATGCGACAGCATCAGTGTAATCAACCCGCAGCCCCCTCTTCAACATCATGGACGATGTTTTGGGCAAGATTTTCGCCAATCCCGTAGCCTCCGGGGACAAGACATGAATGGTAACGGACCACAAATAGCGGTGCCAGGCCGTTATGACAGAATTCTTTCCTGTCGACTTCGCTGCGTGGGTGCATTGAGCCCGGTTGTCTGGAGGTGTTTCAACGGACGAGAAACCACAAGACGACATGTTAGTTGCTTTTGGGAAGCAGTATGACCTCTGCAACGGACCGAGCCCATGTGGCGATGCCCTGTGAGTGCCAATGCCAGGCCAACTGGGCCAGATTTCATGCACGAGATGTGAGAAGACAAGCACAAAGACTGATATTATGGGACAGGGTGAGATAACCTACGTCTACATCCTACTAGATCAAACTTTAGCGGTAATCGTTCCTCCCATTAGTCTTTGGACTACCCACCTGGTTCCACGCGTGCCGCGTTCCCGGTGCTAGGCGGCGCCACCTCGGCTAGAGTCAAAGGGCCGGGTAGTACTAACGATTGCCATGCGAGTTTCCTGCTAGAAAACCAGCATTGTTTGACCAGGGCTGCTCAAAGAGTCTCAGGAGGCACTACGTAGGACGGCATAACAGCACAGTGCTGGCGAAGCGCGAAAGTCAACGCACCGGCAGAGGCGGTAGCAGCGGCCGCGAGGACCTGCAAGACATGATCCTTCGCAACAGAATAGTGTATTCTTCATAACAGCATTTTTGGGGGGATAGTGCGACTAGTGTCTTTGGTGCCATAGCCAATTTTAACATATACATGGAGTTTGTAGAAATCCTGCGAAGCTGAGAGGCGATAAGCACGGTTAACTTTCAAACAAGATAAGACGAAGGTTAAACTCAGCCACGCACCAATCCGCAAGGCTTCCCTTTCACACTGGCTACGTCATCCTATAGACTATGCAGGACTAGGCGATCCTTCAACTGCAAGGGTGCAATGAGATTTGCTTGCGCGGGAAAGTTTCGTAAGCAATGAAAGCTGACGAAACTCTGCCTCAATGGTCTACTTTGCGATCGAGTGGCAGTGTTACGCTGGCGAGTGGATGGCATGGTGCCTGGGACAGCGATCCAGCAAGAGCGGGAGAGTTCAGCAGTCCAATGCACGAAGTGTTCGCCGGCAGGTCGCGATATTGTATGTAGTCTTACATGTTGGGTTCGCGGTACGGGAGATTCCGTGCTCGGTGTGTTGGGTCTGGTGCCTATCTCTCGCGGAATTTCCAGATTGCTCTGGTCGGCTCGCGCTCAAGTGCTCCCAACCACCACAAAGTGCTGGAGGTTGGAGCTAAAATTTTCTAAATCCCGAAGCTCGGAATTCCAAGTCCTGAAAGCTCTGTCTCAAGCCGGGTCCGAACTGTGCAAACCCTACGAAGTCAAGCCACAAAGCGACGTCGGGCAAGCTGATGCAGGGGTATATAAAAGCTAATGAAGCCAAATGCTGCGCATTGCTCATGACGTTGGTGAAAAAGCCTGTGACGAGGATGGCGCCGGACAGTTGTTGCAAAAGGCTACACCGCTTCGAGATCGAGCTGTGCACACCTCAAGAGTGGCTTTTTGTCCGCGCTGGACGATTCGCACAAGAGATTCTTTGGGAAAACTCTCGAAGATGCTGAAGAAACCTATCTAGAATATCACGGTGGACGCTGAAGTGCCCATTCCTCGAGACTGGATTTGAGAGGCGACCGGATAAAGCATTGCCTTTGCCAGCACTACGGGCTTTGAAAAGTCTAAAACATACTACGATACTTGGAAGCTTGAGTTATAAATATGCTTCGGCCCATGGACCATTTTTGCTTGATTGAGTCTCCGGGATGGAACACAACAAACCCAACATTACGAAGACCTACACTCGTTGACCTCTTTTTTGCAGTCTCTCGGTGTGCAGATGGGCGACGCTACAGCAGACCTTACAAGAGACTGGGCCGCAAGAAGCAGGCTGAGCCCTGATGATAATAACCGCGACCTGTCATGGTATTCAATCATCTCCAATAATGCTTGTGCTGAGAATGATTTTCAAAAGATATGCGATGATGGTACACAATGGTCATGTTGCCGTCGCGATCACCACAAAACTGATAAACACAACAACAGCACTGAACCTTGTGCTGGAAAACAGATTGCAGTTTTAGCAACATGACTTTTTTAGATTGTTGTTGCCACCCTCCTCCTCCTCCTCCTTCTCAGTCTCCTGCTCCTCTAAGCCCCCTGCACATCGTCATCCTGCTACATCACGATCGCAATAGTGATCGGACCGAAGGAATCGCCCCTTACATGTGCAAGTCCTTATGCCTTCAGCCACAATCACTGCATTAAGCTGCGTCCTGCACACCAAGCCTTGTTTACTCCCCATCCGCTCTGAGGATGAACAAATGCCATCAATTACCTTTGCAACTGTAAACCACATGATTGCTCTCAGTGCTCCTATACTATTTCCTGGTATAGACTCGCTCGTTTACCGACTGATGTGATGGCCAGCCTGCTGTCTAACCCAAACGTAAAGCTCCAGTCGGAGTGTGAATTTCCGGTGAAAAAATCTCACGGTCAGTCTTGGGTTGTGAACCTAGACTGTTAGTCTGTTGATCAACTCACCTGCAACAGGGCCGGCATACGTGACTGAACACCCCGTCCTAAACTCCCGTCACTTCATGCCCTTAATCTGACATCCGCGAACCATTGCGTGTCCGGATGCTGACAACCACCACGACCATGGCGACCGTCACGACAACACCGACGAGTACAACTGCTGCACTGCTACTACTTCTACTCGTACTCCAACTCCTCTCCTACTCGTACTTCTACTCCTACTACTACTACTACTGCTGCTGCTGCTACTACTACTACTACTACTACTACTACTGCTACGACCACGACCACGCCCACGACCAGCACCAGCACCAGCACCAGCACCAGCACCAGCACCAGCACCACGACCACGACCACGACGAGGACGACGACCACAACTACTACTACCACTACCACTACTACCACTACTACCACTACTACCACTACTACCACTACTACTACTACTACTACTACTACTACTAGTACTAGTAGTACTAGTAGTACTACTACTAGTGGCAGCAGAAGCAAAAGGATGAGGAGGATGAGGTGGAGGACTGGTAAGCAACAAGTAGTGGCAGCACCATCACTGACACGATCACTATCACTGTCACCACCACCACCACCACTTCTTCTACTGCGACTGCGGCTGCTAGTGCTGATTGCTGCTGCTGCTCTTGCTGTCTGTGCAACTGCTGCTACTTCTACATCTGCTGCTTCTATAGCGATGACTACAACGACAACTACGACCACGATTTTCGACACTTTATGACGACTGCCACTGTTGCTGCTGCTGCTGCTTCACTATTAATGCTACTACTCTTGTTGCTTTTACTACTGCCATCAGTGCTGCTACTACCAGCCGACGATGACTGAGACTTCGAGTACGATTACTGGGATGGGTCACAGGTGCAGGTTGGCATTGACTGACCAAGAGCTTCGATAGAAATCATTTGCCGCCTCACCGGCGGAGGTTCCGAAACCTGTGCAAGGTCGATGCTCTTGAGGCTCTCCGGCAGCAGGCTTCGCTACGGTGGTGGGGCTTGGAAAGCTTCTGTGTGGCTCGGATGCTACGTAGGAATCTGAAATTCGGATTGAGTTACATGGCCCTGCCATTGAGAGACCCGCGGCCAAGTGCATACCTGCCTCTAGCCTGCACGTCTCCGAAATCCAAACACTCCAGATCTACAGGCGAGTGCCTAAGGCCGTTGACTATCCCGCAGCATGGAAAAAATATCGGTGCGCCTGGTGGTGGCTCAGTGCTTGCCCTGAGTGCCATCCGAGAGCACGCCCGTCTCGCCCTTGAGGCACCTCGTGGAGGGTTCAACGTCTTTGGGACCCGGGCTACTGTATAGTAGCAGCAGCAGCAGCAGCAGCAGCAGTAATTAGTGGTAACTTGGGGGTAGGCGCTAGGCGGTAGGTGTTAGGCGGCAGTTGGCAGGTACTAGTACTAGTACAAGCGCTAGTGCTAGTGATGATGCTGGTGCTGGTGTTTGTCCTTGGTAGTAAGACTTAGTAGCAGGTACTTAGTAGTTAGTAATTAATTAGTAATTAGCACTTAATACGCCGTACTTAATGCTCAGTACTGGTACTAGTACTAGTAGTGGTGCAGGAGCAGTGGCAGCAGTAGTAGTAGTAGTAGTAGCAGCAGCAGCAGTAGTAGCAGTAGGAGTAGGAGTAGTAGCAGTAGCAGGAGTAGGTAGTAGGTAGTAGGTAGGAGGTAGTAGGCAGCAGGGAGTAGATAGCAAGCAGCCGCAACAGCAGCAGCAGGAGGAGGAGGAGTAGTAGTAGCAGCAGTAGCAGTAGCAGTAGCAGTAGCAGTAGCAGTAGCAGTAGCAGTAGCAGTAGCAGTAGCAGTAGCAGAAGCAGTAGCAGCAGTAGTAGTAGTAGTAGTAGTAGGAGGAGGAGGAGGAGGAGGATTAGTAACAGTAGCAGTAGCAGCAGCAGGAGCAGGCCGTTGACTCTTGGCTTGAAGGACAGTGTGGGCTCCAACTGTCATTCGCATGGCTCTTGGGCTGAGTTGATCTTGGTTTTCATGACACAGCACTCGCAACTGCCCTTCGTACTGAGAATTTCACAAGCATCCAGCTCAAGCCCTGAGCAATCCCAAATCCTGGTTCGAAGTCTTCGTTCCGCTTATGTCTAAAGATTCATGGCTCTAAAAGTGGTGTCTGAATCTCCTTGCTACCTGTAGCTTAATATAGCTCAATGCAAGGCTGGCAGGAATCGACCCGCTGGTTCAACGGTTCTGCACTCTTGGAGCCCCGCTTCTCTGCACATGCCTTCACATTGTCTGCCTGGGTTGCTTGGGGGACTAGACAGCTTCGGAGTTCAGGTTTTAGGTTTAGGGGCCCTTGAAAAGGCGATTAAGCAACAAAAAAACATCACAAAGTTTGAGTTCTGGGCTTCCAGCCTACGGCTTGCTTTGAATAACGACCGGACTCAAAGGCCCGAGGTGGGAAGCAAGATCATGATATCGTGCATCAGCCCCACTCCTGCTGGAATGCGATGTGCCAAAGGAATCTGTAGCCTAGATGCAGATACAGGTTTCAGGCCCTTTGAAGCTTGTTTGCTGTGTGGAGTTGCCCAGAACTCGATGCTAAACGTGAATCGGCGAAACTATCGGCGTTCGCCCAAGTGCGGAGAAGCCGAACTTCTCCAGGCAGGTGCCACCCGGTGCTGAAGCGCCGAAGACGTTGATGCCAACCTTCCGAATATGGGGGCTATAAGAAAATACTTCACTAGGACTAGCGATGTGATTTTTGTGCTCAGAGCTCCTGCATGGCGCTACTTCGGCTTTCAAAGCGCCACGACAGAACGAAGCCAGGCGAAGCTTCGAAGATGATTCTATCTATGAAAATGAAAGCAAACGAAAGCCTAATCCTGCATGTTATGCGGCCGTCC